AGCATTTTCAGAGCATGGTGCATCTTGCTCACCATGCTAGCTGCTGTATTTTGCTCTTCCAAGCTGCTCTTTCTGCCATGCTCTTTGTATAGAACCTACGCAGTTGCTGCAATTTGCGGATTCTTACAGTACCTGCACTCCTTAATTTCACTTTTATCATAATTTAAAAATGCATGTCTTCAGATTTAAAACAGAAGAACTGAAAATGAAATTAAAATGCTCATCATATTAGTGAGGCACTATGGATGTATTGGTAGCAAGCACTAGAGTGTAACAACATTTTTTATTATTCTTATGTTATAAAGTTAATTTTTAGCCAAATATGCTTTATCAGGATTATGAAGAAAAACACATTGGCTGCAAATCTCTTCTGTTGGTGTTTGGCTATGTGTGTACCCATAAACCTAGTGTTAACTAACCGCAAAATTCAGATCTGGGAGCAGATTTTATTTTAAATCACTCCTAAATTTCAGGATGCTAAGATTTGAAATGCACATTCAGATGCATGCCTACTTGAAACAAACACCACATAAGTATCTACACTCCCTGCTTCAGTGAAGCCTGAGTTGCTTACAGAGGCATTGCATTTTAGCACAAAGTATTTTCAGTGGTGCAGCCTTGCTACCACCCAGGTCTCTGGCTGCTCTTTCACATCCCTGTATTGCAATTCACACTCTACCAGCTGTGCTGCCAGACCCATCCCCAGCATCCTGCTGTAAACCAGGAGTGAAAGCAGTAACCAAATCCAGGAACTGTGTTCACAATGGCTTTACCTGAGAAGCCATAAAATCCTGGAGTGCTCTCAGAAGCACACAGTACCCCAGCTGATTGCCTGCATCTGTACTGAACTGTAAGATGAGGGAAGATCGTTCAGGTTATGCTAATCTCATCTACTTGTGGTGAGAATCTAAATACTCATTCAAAGTTTGAATAAAGATTATCTGAATTTAGCCTATATTTAACACAGCTGCTGTGTTCTGTAACAGTGTGCTCTGCCTATGGATTGCTTTCCTTTCTATCTTTAGATGGTTGCAGTCCCTGTGTGTACAGAGCAAGCCTAAAGAATGGATCTTGTTGTACTGTTTATTATAGACACATTCACAGGTTGTGCATAAGATCCCTCATATCTGTAAGACAAAAATACTACTTTTATGGTTTTATGTCACCTTGAAATGCATATTTCATTTCTGTTGTGTCTGGAAAGCTTCACCACGTGAAAAACTATTTATAGGAATTGCCACTTTTTTAATTAGATTTTAAGTGTGTACTTGCTTTTCCCAGATGTGCTGGGAGAACTGATTCATCACTGGACCTAGGCATTGAATGCTTGTGATCAGTGTATATAGTGAATCTCGTGGCCCTGTACATACCCATTTTCTGGAGAATCAGACTTGTATGTGTGTAAGACCAGACTGGGAGCCAGGTTCTCCCCCAGATTACTGAAGATGGGTCATACAGGAATAATCAGTAGCTGAGAAGATAGGGCTTGTGTGGGGGAAGCTTTGGTTTACATCTCTGACCAGGTCGATATTTATTTACTTGTACCAAACATAATTACTCCAGTAGGACAGATGGCATAGACTAATCAATGCATGGTGTTCAGATACCTCCTCATATCCCACACAGCACCACTCTGCCAGTGCTTCCCTTTCCTAAATGGTACATGAAAAGTTCCAGTTTTCACAAAGCATTACTTTGCAATTAAATACTTCCAGCCCTACCTAGTCACAAATGAATAGTTGTTTCCCTGGTTAGTTACACACAGAAATTAGTGGCAACATTTTGGATTTCAAGATGAGTGGTGGTATGTGTCCAGCTCCTCTGGTGAAATATTCTGTCAATACTGTGAGGGTACTGTGTATTTGATAAGAGCAGGTCTCTTTCTAACTTCATGGAGTTCAAATTGTTCTTAAAATTCTTACAGAATGCGTGGGCTGATCACTGCAACAGCTAAATGTGGATTCTAAGGCCCTCATTTGTGCTGCTAATTAAGGTAGGTTTGGTGGGGCTCTGCACAGGTCATTTCAGAGGCAGTAGAAGTGCACTAGCACAACTCTTCTGGGAGGAATCCTCCTTTCATCTTTCCAGCTATGGCGGGGAATGCCAGAGGCAAGCTGTCCCTTGTGTGGCATGGGCTCCATGCTCATGTTGGATAGCACAAGAGACTTGTTAAGGAAATGCTTTGGGTGAAAAGACTGCTGTGCCAACAGAGAAATCTTCCTCTGCTCCCCATCTGCCAGTGTATGCACACTGCCTCTTACCAAGCTTCAAAAACATCCTAACCTCAATGAAAGATCAAGTTGCCTTCAAATCCCATCTACCTCTACAGACAATGACAAAGTTGCAAGGATTTCAGGAACCCTTGACTGCCCTGACACCAGACACACACTGGGAATGAATGGGATAAACAGAGTCAACTGGATACAGGCAGAAGCAAGGTGCTGAGGCATATGAACATGGAAACTTGATGCAGTATACACATGCAGTTTCTTGCCATTCTTTCTACAAGAAACTGGACTGTCCCAAATTGACCTTGAGGACAAATAATACAGGCAGCTAGTGAATTCCATCTTAGAGACTCCACTAAAAGGCCCATGGGGGAGACCTAGCACTGATTTCCATTTCTGTTAACTGCTTTTCAAAACAACATGCCTTTTATGAGAAACTTGTCACAAGCTTTTTGAAAATTCAGTTTGCGATATCACCAGATCATCGATACACACTCAGTGACCACTGAGCTAGCTCCAGAAGATTTGTCAGGCACACCACACGACATTATATCATGCTTTTTAGTATCTTTTTAGCCTATGTCCGTTCCTTTTAGTTTCTTGCTAACTATTCTCCTAATTTTTATGTTCCTTCTTTAAAGGTTGTAGCAGGTTGTTTTACGCCCACAAACATGCTGAATTTGAATGCATTAAGGAGACAATTACGAAGTAAGATACAGGAGTTACATATTGAATTAAATTTTGTTAGTGCTCAGAATTAAATCAAGAACTGTTACTCCACTTGTGGGTTCACCTGATCAGATCCAAATATTTATGAAGCCTTAACATGTAAACACAATGTGATCATAAATTATATAATTACTAACATTATAATAATTATTATATCCTACATATGTAAAATGTTATGTAAATAATAATTTAAAATGAAGCTATTGGTATTTAGTTATTAAGATGCATGTAAATTGTAAACTCTATCAGGAATATTTCAAATAGCTGAAACCCACTACTAAGAATAATGAGGGAAATTATGTATAACCCTGTCCACCAAATCACAAAAGAATAGATGTAATGGATTTATGAGAATCAAAATCAAAGGAATAAACATACATCTTTGCTAAACAAGAAGACCACAGATCTCTAAATTCCTCTGGAAGCTGACAAAGTACCAAGGAGAAAAACAAATAGTTTAGATGGCTATAAACAGCAAGCAACTGCATTAACTCAAGAAAAGGAAGGAATACTTGGAATACCAAGAGAACTCACATTATTTGCCAAAGGGCTATATTCTGTATGAAATATTAGTATCAACGTTCATCTGTGAATCTCAAAATACTTTGAGTATGTATTATGCTTTAGCAGGGAGGTCCCTTCCAACCCCAACCATGCTGTGATTCTCTGATTAATCATTAACTATCATGCTGACACTTTACTGGTCTTTCCATGTCACTAGGAAAGTCACTCAGCAGACAATTAATCAAAGTTATCTGACTCTCCATTCATATCATCACTTCAAGATTGTTGTTTTTTTGGGGCAGAAGCAGGCTGGAAGGTTCAGAGACTCCATTGAAGAGAAGCAAGTATAATAAAATGGTAGGCAAAACAGAAACTAGGGATCTTGCTACTTCTGTTTTTGCAGAACTAACCTGAGACACTTTTCAATAATCTTATTTTCATTTAATGAAAATACAGGCCCTTTTCAAGTGCTCCCCAGACAGGCATGTAGATGCTTACTCACCCATAATCACTAGTCACCTTTTTCCACATTTAGTCTGAGAGATACTACTTATGGCTGGTCTGGGACACACCACCGTCATTTAATCAAAAAGGAAATTGCTCATACTCCAGTCTAATACTTAATTACTTCCTTTCAAAGATAGTTACAACTAATTTGCTCTCATCTGTGGGAATGTTTTAGAAATAGATGCCTATTAAACTAACCAGCTTGGACAGCTTCTCATCCACTCAGACCCTGGAAATTCTTATCTTCTGTTATGTCACCTCCAAGGGAAGCATCATGCAGGTCACTTCTATACCTTCTACCTCAAAGAGAGAATCCTTGAAGTGAACCATTGGCACTGCTTGTGAATAAACTGCTTACAATGATACAGACTCAAAAACAGAGGGTACTGGCAACGAAAAAGGGAAATTACTTATGAGAAAGTCTATACAAAAATTTAGGGAAGACACAGAGGTAAATACCGTAAAGATGATTTCAGTTATTGGCATTACAGCAGTTTTTTGTCATAGAGCTGCAGATGGACTCCAACACATCTGTCTGCTTGCAGTGAAGACACATCACTCAGCCATCTCTCTTTCCAAGTCCACATTCACAGCAGCAACCCTACTTTCCAAGTCTTTTAGCCTTTATTAGTATTACAGTCAGGACCTACTCTGCATTCCTGTTCCTCCAGAAGTTACACTACCACTACCTTCTCTCTGTTTTCAGTGAACGGACATGTATGTCCAAAGCAACCCGTGGTGTTTTGAAGGCTGTTTTGCAACCATTCCTTGCAAAGAACATAGTTTAGGAGATACATTCCCCAGAGATACCCTCATTAAGGAAATTCAGAGCAAGACCTATAACCCCTGCATCACCATCTAGAGAAGTCTGTTTCTCTCCACTGGCTACAGAGGCCCTTAAGGATATTAACCATAATCTCAACTAGACATGTAAATATTTCATGGTGCCCAACATGTAAAAAGGGCTGCAGGGCTAATAGCAACAGAATTAAGAGCTATACAACACCAGCAAAAAACTGACAGTGAACTTACTCTGAAAACTTTTTCCACCCTTGCAATACCCTTCCCAAAGATGGTTCCAAGTTGGTCTCCAATCCCAGCCAGCAAGAAGCCAAACAGTGGAATCCCAAAAATGGCATACAGGATGCAGAAAACCTTGCCTCCAACAGTGCTTGGGGCCATCTTCCCATACCCTGAGGAGAAAAACAATTGTCAGACTCTCATAACTTATACACAGCTTTTTAGAAAAAAACTAATAGGATTTAAAACACTGCTCTTCCTGCAGGCATATCTGTAATTCCTATTTATAGACTTTCCATGGCATGATGTCATTTCCCAGGCAAGCTACTCCCTGCTATTCCATTCTTCTTTTAGCCTCAGTTACCCAGATTTTCTATAGATTCAACCTATCTAAAACTGTTGTTTAATTAATTAATCTAGTTTGACATCATGGCACAAAAATCCCTACATGCTGGCCTAGTGCCTGCACGCTGCTGCTCCTCTTGGCCTGTGCCAATGGTTTCCTGATGGGAGTGTGATTCACCTGGAAAGAATTATTTTCAGTAGTTAGCTCATAATTTCCTAAGCCCTTCATCATACTGACCAGTTACACTGCAGCCTCCAAACTGTACCCACATTATGCAAATCTGCCCTTGAACTCTTTATTCAGTAGCCATAGTATTTCTGTTAAAATGTTACAGAGAAAAAAACCAAGAATTGTGACAGTAATATTTGCAACTTTTTATTTAAGATCAGGCATCTTTATTGAAATGTTATAGATATTTGAATTCTAACTACACATAAGTACTAGAATATTAAAGATTATCACACAGTCACAAATCACTGATAAAACAAAGCATCCAGAGAAGTGGAGATCTAAGAGAGTGTCTGGTCCTCATCCTGTCAGGTTGGTGACACTGGCACTGGATATATCTCTCTGTCATGGGATGGTGAAAGAACTATGTTGACATACAGTACTGTGTATCCCATAACCTACTGTCCTTTTCATGATCCCAGATTTCTCCTAATAGTCAAAAAAAATCCAGGCTCCACAGGTCACTGGACTGCAGTTGACCAGCTAGTCTGCTGATTTTCTGCCTAAGAGGAGCCCTAACAGGCCTCTCTGGTGGATAAACTAAAGTCATTTTTATTTCCTGACAAAATACACAGACTTTATGCAGCCTATAAAAGACTCATTCATGAAGAATTTAAAACAAATATGGGCAAAAATCCAAGGTCTTTTCAATACGTTATTTAAATAGCAAATGTCAATGAATATACCTAAATAAACTATGCCTACACAGTGGCATTTATTTTAATGAGTATTTTAAAAGCTTGTCGCTTGGGTCTATTGAGTAAACAAATATTAAGAAAGGGTTTTCTTACATTTGAATCAGAAATGTTTCCTTTCTTGCCACCCGCTGGTTTTATGCTCCCATTAAAAATACATGGTAATGTAGCTTAATATATAGAGGAACACAGAGAGGCTCTATACAATCATTCTTTCCTCCTTACTCTGACAACAAAGAAAAGGCAGAGCCAAAGGCACAGACTCCAGTTTGAGATGATCACCGCAGCAAGTATTCTCATTGCCACAGGATTGTTTTGTTATATTACCTGCATAAAAAACCTTCAGAATTTAGTCAGATTCTCACACTTCAATGAAGGGTTATGTGATTGTCAGGTTATTTGTCTGTACAGTCACCAGTGCATGCATCACAGCACTGTGGAGAATCACATTATCCACTATTTAAAGCAGAATAATACTCAAAGGCAATGCAAACAAAGAGCAACAATTTGCCAGTTGTTTCCAAATAATCAGATCTCTTGCTCTCTAACTATGACAGCACTGAGATCAAGCTTAAAATTGTAAAACTACTCTATAATTATTAGGGGATTAACTTTATCATCAATGTTATTGGTTTATTTTCTTCTTCCTTCAGACTATCCTCTGAAATCCCAGCTGGCTGAACACTCTTCAAGAGATGAACTGGCTTACAGAGGAGAGAATAAAAACCTTAGGATATCTAAGGTTAACATTCAGAGATCAAGAGACTTATTACATGGGACACAATGCATGGAGAGACAGATGATAAGGGCATGAATTATCTTAGTAAAATTAGTGGTTCAAGAAAAGTGAATAGAGCAGTTCAATATACCCCTTCATTTAATACAGAAAAATGCGTCAATAATTCAAGGCCATGAATTCTAAAATGAAAAAAGGTGGATTTTTTTACACAATGTATAATTTGTGGAATTCCTTCCAATTACTAATATGAAAGCGAGTAAGGATTTTAGAAAGGATGTAATACTGATGGGAATATATTTCCAGTTACAGGGAGTAGGATATGAGAAGAATTGCTGATATTAAACTTCAGAGCATAAGCCAAAATTAGCTGATGTACTTAGGAAGAAAGTTACCCTTATGGGCAAATTCATCTATAACATTAAAATCCAAATTCTCAACAACCATAGAATTTCACTGGGTACTGCTTCTCCATCTTTTTAGTGAAAATTGAGACTGTGTGCATCTACATCAAGAACAGGGTTATAAAGCCTGCATCAGTATTACCTGTTTTCAGCTCAGCATTGCTGTTCTATCCTAATTGTGTAAACTGCTTCTGACACTTCCCTAGAGACCCAATGCCCTTGGCACATACCAGAGGCACGCCTTCTGCAAACCGAGAGGAATACAGTTCAGCTACTTTATTTCTTTGTGGTCTACCTTCCTCAAATTTATTTCATTATTCAGGTCTCAGTGTGACTATGTATTTTAAAAAATAAACATACCTATAGTTGTGATGACTGTTCCAGCAAAGAAAAAGGCACCTCCAAGGTCCCAATGACTGCTGGTGTTAGAAGAAGGTCCTACAGGACTGACTCCTGCATTATCAGCATCAACAGCATGCTGCAAAGAGACAACAAATCAGCCTTATGCATGTCTCACTGTATCCTATGCAAGCTGGTATAGGCTACAAAGGGAAATTTCTAGGACCATGGAAACAGCTTAGGTTTAAGCTTTTCAATACATGCTCAAAGTATAGTAGCATCTGCTGTACACAAAAGTTGAATATATGACTGAACTGAATAGCCATTAAGGTGGAAGAAAGATACAATGCATTAAAAAATGACAAAAGATACAAAGAAGTTGAGAAGTAGAGGACTGACACCACAAATTGATTCATAAATACCATTCTTGAAGCAAGTACTGCCAAAGGAAAAATTCCCCAAGGGGAACAGCTGATGTTAGAAGCAGCTAGAAGGGTGGTAAATACAAATAACATTTGTGAAGTCAACTGAAGCTAGTCAGCCAAGGATTTTAATTTCCAGACAATTAATAATTGATTAATTTATATTTTATGCTAACTAGAGAAAAAATATGGTGTGTGTGTATATATATATTCATCTGAATTGCTCTAAGTTCACTTTTGAGATTCCCTTTGGCACATATTCTCTAGCTGCTTGTAGATCTCATGCAAGTTACTGTCCATCATAGAGAAACTCAGACCTTACCTTGGAACAACAGCTAAAATTACTGCCTTTATCCTTCACAAATGTTCCCAACTAAGTTTAATTTCCACGAAACCACTGCAAAGGAACTAAGCTTTTCTCTTTCTGCCTCTTAACATTTCCAGCTCTTTGCCTTTCTCCCATTCTGCTGCAACCTCACTTCATGTTGCTGTTATCACGCTACTCACACTACTGCCAGATCTTTTCCTCTTCTCTCACTCTAGTATTTGCTCCTCCTTCTAAATATTGCCACCGGTCTTTAGCCTTGGTAGTTTTGGTGAACTTCTTGCTGGACTCAACAGGAGAAGCAAAGTGCTACCTCTTACATCCTCTCTTTCTTTGTCTTTGTCCACACAGAATTCTCACCTATCAATACAGGTTCGTTTTCACTTTTTCCATTTTTTTAATCACTTCTTTTTTCCCCTCGAACTTATGATCTATAAATTGTCACTGTGATTTTATATTTCACCTTTTCCTATACAGTCCATGTGCAAAGCAAGGGTAACCATTTTATTTTATCATTGTCCCACTTCTCACCTGTTCATGTCTATGATTTCTCTCCTGATCTTCTCTATAACCTCACATTCGCTTGTGGTTTTAGCACTGACTTTTAAATACATTGATCTAACACCACTTCTCTCCCTAGCCTTCATGATTCACTTTTCATTAATCTCTTCCCTCCAATGGCTTATTTACCATACTTTTTTCTTTTCTTCCTCTTCCATTTTGCACTTTTTCTCACTCATTTTTTGCCTATATTTCCAACTGACTTCATGCTCATAAATATTCCTCTACTGCTTTTTTAACTTGGGCTGGTTTCAGCTAATCTACTTCCAGTTTTTAGTTATTCATCACATTGCCCCACGAAAAGGGAAAGGAGTGGGAGAAGAGGCACATGGGCAAGAACAGAGACAGCTATATCTAAAGAGATCAGTACGGGGCAGCCTTTTTTAAAAGCAGAGTGGTTACATGCCAGGCTAACCTGATTGTGAAACTACAGCACAAGCAAGCTTCAGGCTGGACTGGTTGCATTTCACACGGGCAGAAAGCCAGGGTTCCTCAGGCACCTGTCCATACCTCAAGAAACAAGGATATAGAGAAAGGAAGTGTTTAGGACCAAACCCTTTGAAAGGGCTTCTGTACCAGTTGCTGACATATTGCAGGTGGTGTTAAAGCAGAGATCATTTGTTGGTTTATGCAGAAGAGCATAAATCAGCATAACAGACAGGTTGCCTGTTTAAATAGGCCATGACACACTGTCAGCTACCCTGGCATGTTTCTTCTGCCAAGGAATGCTGCTTGCCTTCCCTTTCAGTGAGTGAATGTCAGCAAGCTAATTACACTTAAATTGTGTTTGAGTTTACACAGTTTAGCAAGTCTATTAGGGCCAAACACTAACCCCTGAAGTGAAGGAGTGTCCCATTGCCTTAGATAGCTTTGGGAATCTCAGGCTTCCTTCTCATCTCGAATATATTCATTTTTTCTTTAAAGCTTGACTGACATCATTCATTTATAAATATCCAACTATTCCAATGCTAGATTTTAATACATAGCATTTTACATACAGCGATGACAGGACAGAAAGCAAACAGCAAGACAAAATCAGTCTACAGTTAACAGCACTTAGTTTCAGGTCATGCAACAAGTAAAGGATGCCTTACTACTACCACCACAAGTCCACCTTCACAGAAGTATCCTACTAGATGAAAACTGACACAAAACTCAAACAAGAACACTGTCACTGGCAAGACTCTCCCAGTTCACACAGACCACAAAATTTTACTACAGTTTCCAATCTGTGAAACTTCAGATAGGCTTTCCAGAGTTCTAACCACTCTGTTGACAAACCTTACATATTTAAGGTATTTTAAACTAGTAGTTTCAGCTATTTTTATAGCTGAAGTATCATTGAAAGTAACAGGTCATCAAGGTACCCAAAGCTGTTTCACACTTACTCCTCTCCTGGTCCCTTCTTCCTTCTCAAAAGGAGCTACAAGCACAGTACACAAGTACACAATATTTTTTCAGTATACTTTATTAAGTGAAAGAGCAATCTTCTTTAATGAATAACTACCAACCTAGGGTAATTCTTCTTTTGAAATTCAGGGAAGGCAATAACTTGAAATACCTCAAAGGGATGAAATTGTCTTCCTTGCTGTTCAAGTAATGAATGTACCTACCTACAGGCAGGTAGGAGTGAAGGAAGCAAGCCTGAAGCTTGCTTGTGCTGTAGTTTCACAATCAGGTTAGCCTGGCATGTAACCACTCTGCTTTTAAAAAAGGCTGCCCCGTATTTACCAAGGTAAATGCAAGCACTCAATGTTATTTGTTTTTAAAAACATGTATTTCTGATCACAATTTTCAGTTTGGTTCACTGTCATTGTACAGATGTGTATTTTATGCTTGGCCCCTTTGGTATCAGCATGCTACAGTCCCTCTGTAACCAAAAAGACGTGGTCTGCTGCATGGTCTGCATGGGACTGAAGGCAAATCTGCCAGCAAAAGCCCAGCATTTGTGGTGATACTAGGACAACTGAATCCTGTATTCCCAAAGAGAGTGCAATCCAACTCCATATCAGTGTGGAATAGGTTTTATCAATTCCACTTGTTGATATTCAGGCAGCAATATTTAAATACTTTTAAACGAGGGATGGCTCCATACTGGGCTGCTTAGTTGTGAATATATAGGACTCAAAACCCGGAGAAAAGTACAGTGAACACTAATCTGTATCACCAGGTGTCAAGAGTTCTCCCCCACAACATAAGGACACAGTAGTATCTCTTCTCAATGGAGAAGAGATACTTATTTAGATCACTAAATAAGATGGATGTATCAAGAAAAAGTCTAGAGTTATGCCCATAGGCAACAAGATAGATGTGAGCTAGTGCAGCTGATGAGGAGACAGAAACCTTCTCTGGGAAGAAAGGCCTGGTTCATTTGTTCATGTTTCCATAATTCCTCTAGTAAGATCCCAAGCATGAAGAAGACAAATCTTTTCCAAGGACAAGTATAGTAGCCTTCTTGAGTGCTGAGCCACTCAAAGGATGTACCTACCCTATGTGTAATCAAGGATAGGAATTTAATAAGAAAAGAAGATTCTTTCCATTTTTTTACTACTTCTCTTGATTCCTCTCTACAGATCATGCTAATCTAATGATGATTATCTCCTTCTACAATTCTTTTCCAAGTAGATTCCTATCAGGCATACAAAAAGTTGTTTCAATTGCCTTTCATGCTCAGATGTTTCTCTATTAGGATTATTACGATGCTTCTCATTAGCAAGAAGCTTTTAATAACTAATTCCTTAATAACTTTTCTCTATATGCCCTACCTCTCTATTTATTCTCATCATCCCTCAAACAGTGATTAAGGGCTTCTCATTATAAATTCCCATTTATTCACTTTTCCCCAACAGTATTTTTCAAGGACCAAGGACAGTAATTTTTGTTCAGGCATAATCAAAAGTAATAAGCTTTGAAAGCCCATTCCTTAAATACTTTTGCCTAATCCATAAAGGTCTTTAAGTGGCAATCAGCCAGAGTGACCTCCTTGCACCTACAGTGATTTGATTGTCATGCATGCACTGTGTTTGAGGGCAGACCTACAGCATTCAACAAGCAATATGCACATAGATCTAAGTCCAAAGGGTTTAGCTTCCTGCAAACTTCTCAGCTAAGTTTTGGAAGCAGCATAGATACAGGACAGCTGCAGACTTGTGCAGCATCCTAGGTTCAGTCTGTCTCCTCTACAACTGGAGTAGCTCTGGACTGAAGTTAAAAACTAGGGTGCCTACACCAACTAGGACAGGATCCAAGAGATTTGAACTTTTTTTTCACATCCTCTAAGGTGGAATAAGCTAAAATAAAGACAGGGGAAGAAGGGAAGCTGAGACAAGACAACCTTCAGAGGCACAGCAAAAGACTCAATAATCAGATATTTACCACTTCTTTTTTTCACGGTGCAAATAGTCTTTTCCTGTCTTCAGCAACAGGCAACTCTTTCCCATAGTTAATTCAAAGTATTTTTTTTCTCTGTTCTATTTAGAGCTTTCTTCTAGCACATGAAAGTTCTTTTCATTTTACATGGAAATACCCTTAAAAGAGAAGCTGGCTTATGACACTAGAAACCAAGCAAGCAGCTGCAAACTGAAACATCTTTACAAGGATGTTCCCTTTCTTGCTTACCTTCAGGGCAAAACTAGTTCAGAACACCAATCAAAAGTGCCTATCCAAAATACAAACTCTTACTAATATAATTAGCCAATAAAGCCTGACTAGCTTATTTTCAGCTCTGCTTCTTTTCAGCTTACAGTCTAGCTCTAATGAGTTGCTGTAGTCATTAGTGGACATTGATAATGAGACTTAGTTCCCAGGTGGGTAATATTTTTTATATATACCCTATTATCACTCACACTCCTAAACTAAACCCTGGTGGACAAGGAAAAAGAAAGCAGCCCACCAATAACGTAAGACACTTCTTACAGTAGCAAGTCTCTCCATCTTGCATCATTTTGCCTGACTCATTATGAAAGCAGGGCTCATTATGGAAGTTTTTACTCATACACAATGCACAGGATACACAGAAACAGAACATGAATACCCTTATCAGGTCCATAGGAATTACTTTGCCAAAACACCATGATAGTCTTCCTGCCTCTCTTAATGATGGATAAAATTAGAAGCTTCGAGAGGCATAACCTCTCCATTATACACACTGTGCATTATTGCAAAGGCAAGATGAGTTGGTTTTGACCTCAGCTACTAATAAGCTTCTGTTATGACATATAAGAACAAAAGAAAGGGTTTTAGTATGTTAGCAAATGTACCTATCAATGTTATTTTTCTTTTCAACTCTGTCTAGTCACCTGAGTCCTGCTATCTTCTGCTACTTGATCTAAGAGGTAAAATACAGCTAAATGTACTTAAAGCACCTGAAGTTTTATTGTCTTTTATCATATTCTAGGTTTTAGTTCTGTCCAGCTCAAAAGTGTTGATATAGAACACAGGGTTTTGTCATTTTCTTAATCTGGTATTCACTATTTTCCAAGCTGTAGATCACATAAGGCATTAAATAGTGCACTTGCTTCACTGCAACAAACATGTTCAGATGCAGAAATGTGCGTTAAAAATGTGCACTTAAGAACTTCCACTTCAGGAGAGTTTGGACTGCACTGTGAAATACTTGCTACTATTAAGAAAAAGTTACCTGTCATTGTGTTAGTATTAGACAGACCTGAACCAAAACTCAAGAGACAAATACAAATTTAAAATACTTTGAATCTTCCTAGGGATTTGCACTGCTTTCATCACTGTATTACTTCTGAAGTCTATGAATTAACTTCCAAGTCTGGACTCAGCAATTCACAGTTGTGCTACCAGTGCTAATATGTGCAATTGGTTATTAGAGATAAAGATTGGAAGGATGTCACATCCCCACTACATTTTAGCAGCTTCCTCATACAGTGCTGTATATCTTCCTCAAAGGTTTTCCAAGGGGAATCCTTTCAAAGATTGAAATTTAGGCAAAGGTATAAATTTTTCCATCATTAGTCTTGTAAGGACCATGATACTCCTTTCCTCTTCTTAAAAGATTGAGAGCTATCCCCACAGTAAAATAATACAAGTCAGTTCTAAGGTCTCCCTTTTTGTATTTTTCCATATTCTCCAAAGCACAGAGGTGAATCAACATGGTCACTCTGGAGAGTATGATCTGTGTTCATCTAAAGGCTTTCAGGTAGTCAAATAACATTAATTATGAATAGTTCCCCCAGTGATAGCCAGGTGCTGACTGCACACAGCACAGCAGCCAGGACTCATGGAGGTTGCCACATCAGTCTGAACTCACAGGTATAAAGCCAGATGCAGCATTTGTTGCAATGCAGAAATGGATTGTGCCAGGCAGGGGAATGTCACTTTTGAGATCATCAGCATGAAGGCATGAAAGCACAACGTTAACCCCCTGACATTATCTTCAAGCAGTGGTTCACTGTTCTTCTGTGCAAGTCAGTTATAATCAGAGTTTTCTGCATCAGCATACACGACTACATTCCTGGAGCCAGTTTCACCCCTAGACATATAGAAGAATCCAAAGAAACTTCTTCTTTATTGACAAACCTGTTTCAATATTTCACATCACTTGGCTTTAAGATATTCACATGCTAAGCTGCTAAGCCCATTTAATTTACCTTTGCAAAATGACTTCCAGTTACCCAGTGTAATGCCTGAAGACATACTGGAGTCTCAGGAGATTATAAAATTTGTTCAGAATATCTGCCTTCTAATGACACAGTATACCTGTTCTTTATTTTAGTGTCACCACTTTTGAGGTGAAAGAAGGAAAAATATTGTGTAAAATAAAGAATCAGTTTTGCTACACAGCTTAGGCTAGACAATAAGGACTGTTTAGAAATCTTACTGCTGCAGTCACTATGCAGAACTCCACCAACTTGCTCAGGTACTTTGCTTGTTGTACCTTGTATGAGTTCTGCTTTCTGCTAGGAAAGAAAGCATTCTGCATATCTTTTACTAGTGACATTCCCATTAAGGGAATACAAATTTCTTGCTTCTAGTGTTTTCAAAAAATTCTTTAATTAGCCAGCATACATTATCCAGTATCGCTGAACAATATCCAGTATCCCTGAACCTTGGCAGCCTAACACGTTCACCTGTCTTTTGCAGACGCATGAAGGATGTGATCTAAGCCAGCCTTGATCCAAAACCTATATAGTCATAGAAGTGCTTACAAATTTCATTCACATAGGTGGATAGATAGACACAATAATCCAGGAGACAGCTCCGTGTTCTTTCAAACAGCCTGAAATCACAACAGAGCTCTGGTGCAACACTCCAGAGGGAAACATGCTGTGCTCTTGGAAGGCTCAGACACAAATTCAGATCTGAAACAAGAGTCTGAAGTTCAACTTTGGAATATATTCCTTAGGTATCTCGCATTTTCATTTATTCCAGGCTAACTGATAGGTTTCTACATGGAAGATACTCTTCAGAAGTCTCATAAGATCCCTAATATTTTCCTTGTCTAAGGTTTTAATCAATGAAAGATAAATCTATCTTTGAAAGACTTTTTGTGCATGTTACTAGATTTTCCGGTTATCCTTGCATACTTAATATTTCCTTAAAGATTTCGTAGCTTTTAAATTACAAGTATTTTCTATTTTTAATGGTATACTTCATCATCCTTCATTTATTTAAAAGTTACAATAGTAAACTTGTAAGTTAATATAGCAGTAAGTTCAGAATTCTTAGTTGAATATTTATTTCAAAAATCCCACCTATCATTTTCTGTTTGCTCTTCCAGTTGCCATGTTTAATTTGGAGGAAGAATTAATAACTTAACGCTTTTTGAAAATTTACAGAGATAATAGGCAAATGTCTTGCAAATTTGTCATCTCTCACAAAAATTTCTTCCAGATACTAAGTTCTGCTTTTCTTTGCACACATCTTTCTTTATTCTAGTGAATACAAGCACCATTCTCTCCACTTATATGAACAGTGACAGGACTCAAGCAAATGGCATAAAGCTGAGTTGGGAGAGGTTGAGGTTGGGTATCAGGAAATGTTCTTCACCCAGAGGGTGGCTGAGCACTGGAACAGGCTCCCCAGGGAAGCGATCACAGCATCAAGCCTGACAAAGTTTGAGAAGTGTTTGGACAAGGTTTTTAAGCACATGGTGTTATTCTTGGGATATTCTGCATAGGGCCAGGAGTTGGACTCCATGATCCTGATGGCTCCCTTTCAATTCAGCTCATTCTATGATTCTATATTTACAATGTTTTGGAGACATAATTTCTGTTTCTTGACTTTAAAATGACTGGGAAAGAGTCTGCCCATTCCAAGGGCTCTGTGAACAATTTTGTTGCCTACCAACTCGGTTGACCAATGAACCACCAAGCTGTTTATCCTAACTTCCAAGATATACTGTCTTCTTCACATGGCCTACCTGAATCAGTGTCTCCAGCTCTATCTCATTTACACACGTGTGCTCTCGAAGAAAGTCAGCCTTCTCTAGCGCGATTGTGTTCTTCTGCAGACTTTCGAAGGGCTGCTCCAGGCAATGGAAGACAAGTCCTCCCGTCACCAGGTAAACTAACACCACGACAAAGATGACTATCACTGTTTTCCAACTCATGACTGTCTGCAGACCTTGAGTAGGGGCTTCCATGGCAGCAAAAATAGAGGCTCGTGAGGAAACAGTGAATTGTGAAGATGGATGATGCCCGTTAGTTTTGGGCTCGGGCTCACAAGCTGGCACTGCTGAGGGAACAGCCACTGAAACACAAAGCAAAAAATCTTATTCAAAATCAAATTCCTTAGGGTATGACCTTGATCTTCACATACAATTATCCTCAACACCATCTTCAAGACTCTCACATAACCATGGTCTTCGCATAGATATAATTCACAGATTCTTCTCATCTGGAAGGTTCAATGTCTGCTTTATTCATCCATACGCCAGCTACCTCAAGGGGTTGCTTCACCCATTACCTCTAGAGCTGGACAGTCCAGTTATATGTGCAAAATTTTCAGAAATATGCCCAAAACCATTTATTAGAAAAGAACATGAAAATTTTGACTAGTTAGGATACATATTACACATGGTGGTGTTTGGTGAGGGAACCTGGCAGTGATTTATGTCCTTAAATCATATTACTAATAGTATTAATAGTGCTAAAAAATTGAACTGTTAATGACAGAAACAGAAAATGCTTTACAGACCACTATGCTGTTTGGCTCGGTAACATAAATAGGCTCATATTATTTACACGGATTCACAAAACCATCACTTCTAAAAATGTTCTTAAAGCCTGAAAGCCTCAAAAATTTTAGCATAAATCATGTGTCAGCCAAAGCATACTAGACATCTGAGGTCGAAGTTACATGCCAAGCACAAATATGGGCCTCTCAGCTTGCAACTGAGATGCTGTACAGCCCAGATGACCTCAGCAGTACATCAGAGCTAATAAGCCCTGACCTCCAATCAGACTTAATAGCCTGACCGCTGTGTCAAGCTACCAAGGCATCCAAATCAAAGCTGGGTCATCCCCAAATAATTCAAGTGTCTCAGTATCACACCTCCCCACTCTCTGTTGCCAGTGTTAGCAATGGCAGGATGAGGCCAGGTTCCTCAGCATCCACCGGTTTAATGGCACCACATGTAAGCTTTGAAGATGCTGGATTCATTTTAAAACTAAGTCCTGTGTAATCTTACCATGGTGCAGCTGTCACTGGCCTGTAATTTCTTTGAAACTGGATTAATTTATTGCATATTAGACCTAAATCAGATTACAGTTAAAATACAGTGACTTTAGGTGCATTTGCTGAACTTATTCACAATGTGTCTTGCTGTTTTGCTTAGAAATTAAAACAGAAAAATATACAACATCCCATCACAGTGGCATTATACACCAGTTCTATATAATTTGAACATAAAACGTGATTACACCTTGAGTCTGAAGTGAGCTACAACTCTTTCCCAATAGAAACCATTTTACGATACTGAGAAATTTAAGAACTCAGCTGTTTAATACAGGCATGTTTTCCTAGAAGCAATACATCTCTGAAGCATTGCATGGGGTACAGAGCTTCCAGCTTACTTGATAACCAACAAAACACATAAATCTATAATTGCCTTACTATTAATATTTCATTTCATATGTGACTTGAAGGCTCCAGATACCAAACAGAAAGAATCCAGGATCAGAGGAAAACCTTCTGTGGTTGATTTCTTTTTTGTGTATCTCAATTTTCCAACACTCCGTGGCACAGTTGCTCAGTTTACCCATCAAAAGTCATTATGGTTCCCAACACTTATCAACCAGGATGGAGTAATATCAAACTTAAAAGGGTATTTTCCCTTACCTCCAGATACATTTCATGTAAGTTTTAATAACTTGGAGTGACAACAGGGAGAAGAGTGACCATGCTAGAAAGAAGTCACATTTTTTGTAAGATATCAATATATTTATTCTCTAAGTCTCCTTAAATTATTATTGTAATAGATACAGTGAGTTTCAGCAGGATATACCAGGACAATATTCAGAAGAAACATAAAGTAGTGAGGTTGTGTGAAGCAGTCAGAACCTCTCTTCCCCTGCAGGTAAACATCTTAAATCTCAGTTACAACATCTCCTTACTGAACTAAATAAATCTGAGTACTCACCAAAGTGGCTCAGCAGATGTAACTGTGTAACATAGCTTCCATGGATTCCATGGAATTCAAACAATTTGCATTAGTTAGAGCCAGTAACTACTGTGTCTATTGTGAATCAATACAAAATCTTCAAGCCTGAGGGCTGATTTTGCACACTTGAGATTACTTACTCAGCAAAATAGACTCAAGATTCAAGGTTCACATGGCAAGAAGAGTGCAGAATTCACATGAGAGAAAGAGCATGCTATGATTTTTTTAAATAGCTATCCACCTTACCACAACTGGCATAGTCCACTGTAGGCTGGGTGAGCCTTTCAGGGGAAAGAGATGCCTGCCTTTGATATCCCACAAATGTAAGTCAAGAGGATGGAATTCAAGAGCTGGTAGCAGGAAAACAGCTTTTGTGAGTTTTCCTCTCTGCTAGTATAAATGTTGTTTCTTATTCAAATCATGTTTCTGGCAAAGTGTTAATAAAAGCTTTACAGTAAAATCATGGCCTGTTTGATTCTGTCTTCTTAGGAAAATGTGTTGTACTGATTTAAGAACAAGATGGACAGTTCAGGTTAGAGAATGTAAAATGTTCTTATAAATATTTTCTCACTTAAACAGCTCAGTGGATTACTGTGCTCAGCTTGCTTATCTCTAAAATAAAATATAACTCTTTTCTGAAGAACTGTGTTTGTCTTTCATTTTCTATTAGTAATAGCTACCCTAAGTGAATGTAGAACTGTTGATCCTGAAGTATTTTATATTATATAAACAAATACGCAGGATGATTCTACTAAAGCAGCGAGTTAAGCAACTGATGTATAACAGAAATGGTCTTCTTACAAAGCTGATGCACAAGCGCAACTACAGTCAATACTCAGAGATTTTAAGCAGCAGTTAGGTGTTGAAAAAACAGTGTAGATACTCCATCTAGCAGTTCTCCCACTCTCTACAACAGGACAGTGGGGTCAGTGACTTAAGCACATGGTAAAAAGTCAGAAATCCTGATTTCTAATCGGAACACTGCCTCTGTGAAACTGTGCTCTCACAAAAGAGCTGCCATTTGTCTTTAAACCATGGTTTCATCAGCTGCAAAGAGATAAAATAGTGCTTACTTTTCTAGCAAAAGTGTCCTGGAAGACTCCATGTCTGAATGTAAAACATAAACTTCCAGAAGTTTAACAAGTAGTTTTACTAAAATCAAAGAATGGACTACAGTGGCAATTCAACAATGTGCAGAGGTATGTAAATAGTTTAAAAAATAAAGGTATACATAAATTCTTGGATTTGTAGAACTGGTTTAGACATGTTTGCAATAAATGCAGAACAATTTCTACTTTATTTGTTCATGTTTTTTCAAAACAAGCTGGTGTCAGAACAGCCTTTTCCCAGACCAGAGTCTCATCCATATGTGTTTGTTAAATCATATCAAAGAAGGCTTAATCTGCCTCAGTGAAAGTGATGATGAATCTCTACTCACATGCAGGCACTATATTAGCAGACAGGTAATCTCAAAGGAACAGGAACCCTCAAATTAACACACCAGTGTTTCCAAACAGGCCTTATCCCAGTAAAAGGATGCCAGAGGGGAAAGAAAGGTGAGTTGCTGATTATTTGGATAAGTTTCAAAATAAAGCAACTGAAGACACTGATGTTAGAAGTGAAATTGCAATGTTAGGATCTGTACAGTTGTTCACATCCGAGATCACCATGCTACCTGCACTTATACAGGCTAACGGCAAAGCCAGAACTCCCACTGACATGTGAGGAGCTTAAATACCTGAGAATTCTGCTAATATTGATGAGAATTAAGGAAGCAAGACTTTCACTCACTGTCAAGATGACAGGAGCAAAGGTTAACTCATTATAGTTGTAGGTGTTTCCCTTGTAAGACGAACAGAAGGCCCAATATGTTGACCAGGCCCAGACCATAGGGGTGTCTGGTGTCTCCTGGAGCCTGGGTTACAGACGTCTCCAGGACACTTTTCAGCTTGGTACGGCCCTCAGACTACTGCCCGTTCCTGATCTTCCACGTAGGGGTCGAGGAAGTCGCTTACACATGGTCCGAGGGTAATCAAAAAGGACTTCTGGGCCTTCAGACGTTTGGCCAGGGAATCTGGAGCATGAGTTATAGCCTCCTCTGTAGTTACAGTTGAAGGCAGCAACATGGGAAGAAACGGACAGACTGAGTCTATGCCTCCTCGGCTGGTGTCACCAAAACCAGAATTTTGGGGGTTTTGACAATGAAATGGCCTCCACAGCACCAGGCATGTTGGCATCAGACAGGACTCACTTTTCTCAGCAAGAGATGGAGGAGCATCTTTGCTCGGGAACTAGCAAGGCTCACAGGCAGAGCTTTAAACTAGATGTAGGGGGGGAGGGAGCCAATATCAGGCTCTACCCTGGCAAGCTGTGGGATGATATGCAACTAGACAGAGAGACAGGGTGCTGGTGAGGGCACTTTGCCAGTCACTCCAAACTGTGCTAGGCACATTGGAGCACACTAGAAGCCTTAGGGAGATAAGCCAGTCAGTCCTGAGGTAACAGAAGCCACAAGAAAACACCAGGGAAATATCTCAAAGGAATAATGGGGTGTTTGGTTAGGAAGGCGACACACACAGCAGCCCAGCAATCCCCAGGAGCAAGATGTTGGGCAAGGAAGGCAAGAGTCTGGCATAGCTGAAGCTGAGTAAGGAAATGCTGGTCAAACTAAAGGTAAAGAAGCAAATGCACTGACAGTGGAGACAAGGACAGGTTAGCTGGGAAGAGTATAGAGATGAAGGTCAGTTGTGTAGTGATGAGGTGAAGAAGGCCAAGGCAATGGTGGAACTGAACCTCACAAGGCATGCAAATAATAAGAGTTTCTACTGGTATGTTAACAAGAAAAGGAAGGTCTAACAAGGTGTAGCCCCTCAATAAACAATGGTAGTAAACTGTTAACAATGCATGACAAGGCTCAAGTACTCAACCACTTTTTTGCCTCCATCTTCAGTGACAATCTCTCTACTTACACCTCTCAATTAAGCATAATGGCAACTGGGAGAGCAAAGTGCTTTTTTTTTTTAGCAAGCGCTAAAGATCAGGTTCCTGAATGTACAGAAGTCTATGGGAGCCAGTGAGATAAATCCCAGAGTCCTGAGGGAATTGGCTGACGTAGTTGTCAAGCTACTCTCCATGATACTTGAAAAGTCATAGCAGTCAAGTGAAGTCCCAGGTGACTGGAAAAGGGGGAACATTGAACCCATCTTTAAAAGGGTAGAAAGGAGGACCCTGGGAACCACCAACCTGTCAGCCCCATCTCTGTGCCTGGGAAGATCACAGAACAGATCCTCCTAGAAGCTATGCTATGGTACATGGAGGACAGGGAGGTGACTTGGGACAGTCAGCACAGGTTCATCAAGGGAAAGTCCTGTCTGGCAAACCTAGTGACCTTCTATGATGGAGTGACTACATCAGTGGCCAAGGGAAGGGCTACAGATGTTATTTATCTGCACTTTGACACACAACATCCTTCTCTCTGGACTGGAGAGACATGGATTCCGTGTTAGATGGATAAGAAACTGGTTGGGCAGTCACATCCAGGGGGTAGTGGTCAGCTTAGATTCTCAATGGGTATCAGTGACAGGTGGTGTCCTGCAGGGGTCCATACTGGACCAGTGTTAATTAATATCTGATTTCATGACACAGACAAAGGGATCAAGTGCACCCTCAGCAAATTTACGGATGACACCAAGCTGAGTGGTGTGGTTGACACACCTGAAGGACAGGATCCATCAGAGGGACCTGGACAAGCTTGAGAAGTGGGCCCTAACTCCAGCCTTCCAGCACCTGAAGGAAGCCTACAAGAAAGATAGAGCGACTTTTTACAGGGGTATGTAGTGATAGGACAAGGGGGAATGGCTTCAAATTAAGTGTAGGTTTAGATTACATATTAGGAAGAAATCCTTTACTGTAAGGGTGGTGAGGCACTGGAACAGGCTACCCAAAGAAGACGTGGATGTCCCATCTCTGGAAATGTTCAAGGCCAATTTGGATGGGGCTCTGAACAACCTGGTCTAGTGGAAGGTGTCCTTGCCAATGGCAGGGGGGTTGGAACTAGATGAACATTAAGGTCCCTCCTATGATTTAGGAGGGACCTTAAAACCATTCCATGATTTTACAAGGATTAACCCAACTGAAGCAGTTTGCAGTTGGACTAGATGGCTGTTGTAGGTTCCTTCCAACTGAAATATTCTACTCTAAAGCAAAACTATGTAGTAAAACACTGGAGCTATTGAAGTAATGAACCATAAGACATTGCTTCAGGCCAAACATTGTCCTTTACTACTGCAGGTATGCTTTTCTTCAGGAAACCAATTTTTCTAAGAAAAGGTTAGACTTATTTCTGCCAGAAATATCTAGGTATAGTTGGCTCTGCTTTACCGTAGCAGGGTGAGCTACATAACCTATTAAGACTGGAAAGTAGTTCTAATTTAAAAAGAAAATCTCCAGACAGGTTCAAAGAACAGACACCTCAGAACAGCTTCAAATAAGAACCAAAACCCTGAGACAAAATTCCAACTGGTTTTTGACTACGAAAACATTAAAACATGGCTTTGTCACACTGATCTATATCCTGGCAACTATCTTACCCAAATATGCCAAGAACACAAGAGATACCAAAGAAAGCTGGTTTTAGAGGAGAGTTTCTCAAATGATTTAAACCAAAAACAATTTTTTAAAATAAACATCTCCTCCTCTGGATGACACAATTTCTGTCTGCTGTCATAATTTCTATCTGCAAAAAATGTAAGTCAGGTTTAACAGCGTATTATTTAGTAATTCATTTTCTTCCACAGCTCTGTGTTACATGGGCACCCAGGAATGTATGTACATTTTAATGAGAGTATAGTAGAGTGTTCTTGACACATCTAATAAAAATGTTGCTTTCACAGGATTCAGCACAGAATTAGACAGAGGCCACATATACTTATGCATTTATAAACTCAGCAGCTGGCTTTAAGTTTGAAACATGAAGTGATCAAGAATGAAACTGGACATTTGATCCCCCATTTTAGTGGCTCCACTCAAGGAAGACAACAAGGTACTTTTGGCTAAAGTAAAAAGGCTCATTGATGTGCATCTGAAGGTAAGTAACAATATGTTTCCCCAAAATCCTAATAATATAATGGGAGGTTTTTTTAAAAGAAAGGAAATTATGCATTCTTGAAACGTTTAAATAGTCGAGTATTCAAAATTTCCCATGTCTTATGTTTGAATTAAAACTAGAAATTTAGTTAGAATTATAAAGTAATCTTATCATACAGTCCAGTTTCACTGAGAAAATTCATGAGCTAATCATCCTCCCTACAGCTTTCACAAGATCCTACACTGGGTTATCAACACTTCTACATCCTTCCTATAGCACTACTTAATAAGCCAAAATTTCTTCCTGAACTAATTTAGAAATATGACATTTTGTCAAGTGTATGATGTTTCAGAACAGAACCCTGGAGCACCAAGGCTCAGAAATGTCTGTAAGGTGCTAGCAAAGTTCACTAAACCTTCCCTGAACGGACCACTAAAAGGAGGTGGATCCACCTTCTTTATAACGGATCATAAAAGACTGGGGGATGAAGGGACTCCACTGGTCATAACTGTTTTAGAGTCCTAGCAGGAGCCTCATTTATTTCAGTTTAACTGGATAGAGTATTCTAGGCTTTTGTTTCTCACCCCAGTCACCCTTCAGTTAACACACTGAAGTTAAGATCAAAAGGCTTCCTGACTGAACAGTGTGGAAAGGCAGGAAAATAAGCAGCTCATCAGTGGATAACATATAATCTTGCATTCACTTCAAGGCTCTAGCTCATCTCCAAACAGAAGTTCCTGAAGGATGTGGGTATCTAGCATTTGCTTCCAATTTCAAAATCTTCCCACAGACTCCCCAAAGTGATTTCAGATAGTGGCTGCTTGGATTAAGAAAGCAGGGCTGTGCCTGAAGTTAAAGCAAGGATAAGAGGAATGTTAGAGGGACAGCAGAGGCAATCAGTGTATAAAGGGATCAGCTATATAAACTTCTCAGGAATGTCACAAAGAGAAAATGCATGCAGGTTCACAGATGAAGGAAATTGGACTGTCCAACAGGAAGCGGGTGGTTGCTATACGCATAATGGAAGCGATGAAACATGGAAGTTTCTGTCCATGTGTAACCAAAAAATCATTAAAGCATCAAAATTTTGCATTATGAGGACACAGCAAATCCTTTCCACTACTTGATTTGCTTGTTATTCCAGCCTGCTCCCCACCCTCATTCTTCATCTCTGTCTGTTGTGGGTTTTGTAGAGAGCATCCATTTAACCAGAGCAATGAATGTTGAATTTTTATAACTGGGCATTCAAAAATCTGATGCTGGTTTAGAAAGTCTGGCTTTTAGAGCAAAAATCCCAGTAGACAACGATTGTGTCTGCCTTTGCATTCATGCAGCATCTTTGCATGATGTGGGCTAATTAACAGGTGACATTACAGCTGTGATCAAAAAATGGGAGAAAAATCCTGCCTGCAGGCTACGATTACATATGGGGCAGAACACTGGTATCCCTGTGGCGGTTGTTCTGGTTTGAGGCATAGGAATAATAAGCACTGCTGTCTGGGGATCACGGGATCCATATAGCCACGAAGCAAGAAAAACTGCTATCAGTGCTGACATGTTTTACACCAGTTTGGCCCTAGTCCCTTTGCATATCCCCAGTGCACACAAATTGAGCAGAGAAAGCCATCGTGAGCTTGCCACACAAGGGGAATTTCGCCCTACTGTTTGTACAGCATTTTGCTGCAAACTGCCACTGAATTACTATTGCATTTACAGTTTGTGAAAGCAAAGCTCGACATATTGTTTGTTTGGGAAACACAGAGTGCCTCTGAGCATAGAGCTTTTCAATGCACTGGCACCCCATGGGTTAAATCTAACACTATTTTCCCTGAAGTGGATTCTCTAATGCAGCATTAGCACTGCTGACTTCAGCAACATCTCAGCCCTCTGCTGTAAATGCAGTCATCAGCAGGAAAGCATTCGATGGAGTATGAAAGACAGGTAAAGGCACAAAGGGCAATACACAATAAACAAAATAGATTGAACGTGCTGTTGGAACAAATGTAGCACTGATTTGTCCCAATCGCTCCTTTCCCTGAGTGGGACAGGGAGAAGGGAGCAGTATGTCAGGTTACAAAACTGCATAAAGAATAAAGTCACTGTTTGCTTCCTATTGTAGGACAATGCTAG